GTCGCTTTGGATAAAAGTGTCTGCTACATGACTAAATGTAAATGTTACCCAAAGGTTGTGGGTTTGAGTCTCAGGTCTGGCAGGAATTGTTGGTGGGGGGAGTGAATAACCAGCACTCTCTTCCACCTTCAATATCACGACTGAGGTGAGACCCTTGAGCAAGGCACCGAACCTCCAACTGCTTCCCTGGACGCTGCAGCAATATGGCTGCCCACTGCTCCGGGTGTGTATTCACGGTGTGTGTGTGTGTGTGTGTGTTCACTGCTGTGTGTGTGCACTTTGGATGGGTTAAATCCAGAGTGCAAATTCTGAGTATGGGTCACCATACTTGGCCACACGTCACTTCACTTTCAGCCCTGGGGACATCTTGGCCCAGTCATCTGACCTTTAAAGAACATTTAAAGGCCAAATTATTCCTATTGCTTTTATTTTTGGTGTATTCCATTGCTTTAACTAAATTGGTAAAACTTAAAACTATGCATCTTGACAAAGTACTTTGAATACATTTTCTGAAATGGAATGTTTCATCATGACTTCATAATGAAGCATAGTTACAGTGAAATGCATCTGAACAGAAATTACATTCAACACTTTTTTTAAACCTGAAAACATGTCACAATATAGCAACAGTTACAATGCAGTGAGACATAATTATTCCAGTTTTAGGTTGTGAATGATGACAAATGAAGTCTACAGTATTGATCTTAGGCTGTTAAATTATTAAATAACAAAATAACAACAACTTAAATGACAGTGAATTTACTAAATATATAAATATACCTACCTGCAAAACTACTGTACTGTAAACTAGTTCTCAATCTCTCATCTAGCATGGCCAACTTGATTTTCGGCCTGTTATGTGCCCGGACATAACCAACGTATATTTCTAAAAAGGTATATTCCTCAAAGTATATATATTTTTAATTGGGTCAGGTTGGCATATTACCAAAAAAAAAAAAAAGAGAGAGAGAGAGAGAAATGTTTTTGTAGATTTTGAATTCAGAAGGCTCACACCACTAGATGTCGCTGTTTACTCGGTCTAGTAATACACTGAACGTAACTGGGCCTCTCTGAACACTGATTGCTATGCTTCCCACGACTGCATGCGCGAACTTCCTCACTTCCACTTCCATTCGTATCCCGAATCTCACACATCCCAGAATAACGCTGAGCCACTGGATTTTTACAATACGGATGAACGTAGCCATGCATTGCAGGGTGAGTCGCTTATTCTTGTTAATAAAGGTGAAATCAAAGCAGACGCTTAAGTTTTTGCAACCATTTAATTTTCTTCTTAAGTTACAGAAATAATAATGCATATTTTCTTAATCGAATAATTTCAAATGTTACTAGTTAAAGTAGACCCGAAATGTATTGAATTACACAGGTTGTTTCATGTCTATGTATATGCATTTTGTTCATTATTTCTATAAATTACTTTAATTATGGAACTTTGAGTTTAGTTTTTTTTTATTAATCTTGAGTGATTTGTCTATATATCACATATTTTGCGAAGACTTTATATTCAGAAAATGATTCTTCAATCTGGATGACAGATTAACACATAAATACGTATTATATTGTTCAACAGATCAGGATTTATAGACTGTCATTTAAATCATTACACATAATATAAAACGTTTATATTTTTATAATAGGCCTATCATTTTAATTTACATGTTATTATAAAATGTAACCATGATTCAAATTCCTTTGTGTAGAATTTAAAGCAAATAAATTAATTATAAAAATAGAGGAGAAGATAGTTTCTTTCTTTCTTTCTTACTTTTTTTTGGACAACGAAATGGAGGGGAAAAAAAGGCCCAACTATGATCTTTCATTTGAGGTCATCAGGGGTGTGTGGCTGCCTGGAAGCATCTGCCATGTGGCCCAAAAAATCATCTGCTGGAACCACTCTTTCTGTAGATTTACTGGCAGAGTTAAGCCACAAGTGATTTTAATCATATAGTTTGTGTAAAGGGCAAGGGAAGCTATTTCCTCAAGTTAATGTTAGTCTAGACAATAAAGTGGTAGTTT